AATAATAATAATAAACTGAATTAATTTCAGCCTTGGTTTTTATTAAATATATTTTATTAATAACTACATGTCATATATAATATCTGTATCTTTACCATACTTTTGACTGGGTATGGCACTGTGTTAGAGAGGCTGGGTTTAGGAGAATATGGTCCTTAATGATCATCTTGACCTTGATGTCCAGTTGAGAATGAACATGCACTTCTCAGCAGGTCAAAGCTATCGGGACAATCAATAATGTAAAAACATCCAGGCGGCCAGCATGTCTCTCTAACCAATCAAAGAACTCCTTAAATTGCACAGCGCGTCTAAATTGCTTTTTTTTTTTTTTTTTTAAAGGAAATGGTAAAAATGGGATAGCTAATCTGGTAGTTAGTCTGTTAGCTAATCCCGTAGTGAATCCAAAAGCTAATGCATTAGGTAATATGATAGCTAATCCATGAGCTAACAGGGAAAAGAAATACAGTTGGAGGAAATGGATTTGAAAATGAGGAGTAGAATTTTAAATGTCAGAATCGATTATTTCTCTTTTTTAAATTAAACACATTAAACACAGTCTCTGTTTTTTAAGAAAATGATTGAAAATCTTTAACTGAGAAATCTATTTTTGATTTGAAGTATTTATTAATGGGTTCATAGGCTAAATAAGACTGAAATATTGATGCTTAATCAGTGTTTTTAACTCAATTCAATTCACTTTTATTTATACAGCGCCAAATCACAACAACAGTCGCCTCAAGGTGCTTTGTAAGGTATTGTAAGGTAGACCCTACAATAATACATGCAGAGAAAAACCCAGCAATCATATGACCCCCTATGAGCAGCACTTTGGCGACAGTGGGAAGGAAGAAACCTCCAGCAGAACCAGGCTCAGGGAGGGGCGGGGCCATCTGCTGCGTGAGAGAAGGAAAACAGGATAAAGACATGCTGTGGAAGAGAGTCAGAGATTAATAACACGTATGAAACAAAAGCATCGGGACTTCTTTAAGTTTCGTGAAGACGTTTCACCTCTCATCCGAGAAGCTTCTTCAGTTCTAAGAGCAAAATTTTAAGCCCTATGGGAGTGTCCCCCCCCC